GGAAATAGATTGATTATTAATAATGAAAAAATACCTTTTGGTCAAATATTAGTATTATTGTTTTCATGTAGGAGTAATTTTTGTATACATTTTAGTGTACAACTAGCAAAGAATATTAGTATAATTTAGTATCAGACACAGAAGATCGTTTCATCTGATTTAACTTACAAAACAAAATTCAAAGTTTTGCTTTATTCATGTTGAAAAATTCTTATAATTCTTTCACAAAAACAAGTGTAACTACAAAGAAATAAAGAAATATTGGCAGTTTCGTTTTATTATAATCATAAGAAAAGTGTATCCTCATATATTGTGTTAGGACCATCTGTCCGAAAAGGACGAGTATTTGAACTCTGCAGATCACGAAATTGTTTCTCATAAAGTTGACATCATTCGTATTCACCATTAATATTAAGGAAGGACGAGGGCCGATAAGACCATTTTTCTGCCCCCAACAGAATCGAGTTTTTTTTTATTGGATTGCACATAGGAATAGGTCCTGATCACATTTTATAGGTTTTTTTCAGATCACTTATAAAATTTTTTCGGGTTCTGTCGTCCCCCACAGGAATGGCCAAAAGTTTGTTTTTCGAAAACTGAAATGAAATGTGTTCTGATTTATAGAGTTAAGCATGCTGATTACGAATGTCAACATTAGAAATTCCATAAATGTAAGTGTGAGTTTTCTCTTCTTCCTCTGCTGAACCCACACCCGCACCCACACACCCACACCCACGCCCTTCGTATGGAAAATCGAAATGGTGAACTAATTACAAAGGTTTACCACAAGCCATCTTATGAACCTTATTATTTATCATTCAATAGCATTCATTCAATGCACATGAAAAAGAATATACCATTTACTATGTTACTTCATGCTATTAGATATTGTTCAACATATCAGGCATATTTAGATGAAGGTGAAAGACTACGCATGGTCTTATTATTGAACAAATATCCCATTAAATTTATCGATGAGCAATTTCGGATCCTACTACAAAAGTTCAATATCGACCAACCATTAACTTTGAATAATTACAATAAATTGCGTCAAAAGGTTATAGATATTACGTTCAAAGAAAAAATACCAATAGATTACAGTAGAACAATGTTTGTTCATTTTACATATTGCTCTAACATGAGAACACTACTCAAGAAATTCCATACACTTTGGAATAAATATTTTGGTGAATCTCCAATTGATGACATCATTCCAGTCCTTGGTACTCGAAATGCTGATAATTTACAACGGTTATTGGTTCATACACGTTAATATTAACCTATTCAACTATTTAACAACTGTAATCAATTATTCATTACATTTCGGTACCAAAGGCTTATATTTACACATACAATTATATTTGATTATTAATTTATCAATATTATTATTATCTTATTTTATAACTATTATATTTATTATTTTGGTCGGCCAATTTTGTCTTATATATAAAATCTTGTTTATAAACTCTTAGTTAATTTTGACAAAAAGATCGATTGCTAAAAAATTGAGAAAACCAGATCTGCCTTATCCTTATAAAGTAGAAACCAGTTATTCAATTAATAATCTGATCTTTATCAATTACTCAGTATAATAGCATGTTCTAATATAACTACAAATACAACTGCTACTCCACCTCAAAATTATGGCTATTTTCAAGTATTAAATGTCTTTATTGATTAAACAGTAGACATAAGGTTCAAAATATTAAAGTTAAATTTTACATCTTAATGAACGGATTATTAGTATTTGAAATATTATTTCGATGAAAAATCGATTGCCAAAACTGGATATCATCAATTGCATTCGTATTTTGGTCTGCAAGTTAATCTATTCTATCATTGAGCTGTTTATGATTCAATTGACCTGTTTATGATTCAATTGACCTATCTACACAATACCATACCGATAACAGCGCATAGTGATTGCACTACCCAACTGACTTTAATTCATTATCCGACTATTACCCTCTCCCTTTTCTTTTCTCTTCTTTATCTGATTATTATATATAGATCTAGTTTCCTTCTTCTTTTTTCATTCATATTCATATATTATTTAGCGTTTACTTATTGCTCAGTTACTATTTTTTTTTCACTGTGCTTGAAAAAGTTTTTTATTTACGCAGAGTCCTGATGAGTGTTCTTATTTTTTAAATAAATAACACGAAATGCGTCGGCAAAGCTAAACTCTGCATTCATTCTATTTACAAGCACATATTATTTGCAAATAATTTCGACAAAACATCGGTTGCTGAAAAGCAAGAGTTGAGATCAGCAGATTGATTTGTATCTTAGATATACAAGTTGATCTGTTTTCAATTCATAAACAACGAAACGAAAAAATTTCATATATGTATTTTTTTACTTCATCTTTCGATTTATTAAAAATTTTATTTACAACTCACATTTAAGCGCATGCAAATATCAGTGTATATTTTCTCATTATAACAACATGAAACGCAAGGTTAAGTAAAAAAGAGGAAGAACACATGAAGAACGAAATGTATGTGATGATGAGCACATGGTTGGAAAAAAGCTGTCTACGTGATGAAAAAAGTCATGGTCCATTGATCCACGTAAACATACGTTTGTGGAGAAAAAATCAAGTAATGTTATCGATTATAAATACAGAATAAAACCTGTTGCAAACACATCAAACAAAATTTGTACACTCAACTATCAACTAGCACGTAAGTATATTTAATTTCCAACATTCTTAGACTAGTGATAACATTAAATTTGAAAGTAAAGAGTGACTACAAACAAGAAAAAAACGAAAGTAGTTTTACGAGAGCTCCGCTTGGTGATAATTAGGATGTGCAGTCGATTGTCTTGATTGAAGAAGCTCTTACATGTATTATAGTCTTACTGCAAATCACGTTAAACACATTAACTTTTTTATACTTACATTTCACTGGGAGTATCAGTGATGAAAGGCACAATTTTCAATTTTTATGAAGGTATCATAGCAAGGAATTCAAGAACTTATAATAGAATTTGCTCAATTATATAGACACACAAAAAGAACCTATTTGAATCTTAATGTACTGAATCAAAATCTAAGATTTGTACATGAAAACAATAAGTTCTTATTCACAGAATAGAGTAAGTTTCCGGATAACCTCTTAAAAATCAGCTCGAGTAAAAAAACAACCCTCATGAAGTAATCATTAGAGAAGATGAAATCGAATCGATTGAGACTTTTCATCACTCCAGCTGTGTTTTCTTTGCATAGAACACAAGCTTATCTAAGAGAAAGGAAACTTGGAAGGAGAGAGAAATAAGAAGAGAGAAAATAGTGAATATAAGACAGAAAGAGCAGGCAGCTATTATCTTTCATGAGGTTCTACTATTGGCACACAAAGAGCATGACCAAAGTTGATAATTCGATTGTTGTGCAACAAAAGAGAAAATTATAATCGGTTATAATTTAGATTTTGTTTCACAATAGTAATAGTGAAAATCCTCATATAACTAACTTCAGCACGATTTTGATTGATTTTATATACTGTTGTACTCGTTAATAAACGATAAGGTGAAATAAAATAAAATAGAGTCTTTTCCAGTGTAGAAAAAAGACGAAAAACATCGATTAAAATCAGATATTTTTCCTGTTTTTTCTTTACATGGGAATTCTGTGTTCCAAATCTATGCTACTTGCTAATATATTTCAATCTTTCTAGTCATGTTGGTCCGATCTGTCTAATCTTTTTCTCGAACAGCCCTGATTGAGGACTAGTCTAAGGTTTGGTGTGTCCTTGAATATCGTCCCAAATCTGTCATTGACAAGCATGAGCACATATATACTATCTAGTCTTGTTCAAGTGAAAGATCCGCATAGGACTACTTTAGTGTCGATGATATATCAAATTATTATCAAAAATGCAGACTAATTCTGGACGAAGCTTTTTTAAGGCGAAGAATCGTATGATCGAAAACTCAACTTCTATATCTCGGTGAACATTTATAGCCACTATTTAATTAAATTCTATTCAGATATTTTTTAAAATTTTTATATCGATAAAAAAACCTTTGTATTCTAATACGAATTTATGTGTATTAGCTCAAATGAGTCTACTTTTTTAATTAAAAAAATTATTTTCATCAAGTTTTAGTAAAAACTAATGAATGCGAACAAATACTATGTCCAAAATAAATTAATAATTTTTTTAGTTAAAGAGAAAATAACGTATATAAGCATCATGATTTTATTTTATTTTACATTAAGTTAATCCATTTTACAGTTAGAACTAGAATAGATTTGTGAAATCTTATTTCATTCTTAAATTAAACTAATCAGAATGTATACTAAAAGTGAAATGAAATTTTGACACAAAAAAAAATATTCGTATTATTTTGGGATTGGTGTGGATCTTTTCTTTATTAACACTCACACATCTACCCTCACTTGTTCTCGACCAATTTTAATCGTCTAGCAGATGGATAAGTACCTCTCCGCTATTTGAACTGTTAAAGCTGACGTCAGTCTATTGGTAAGACATGATTTGGCATCAGGATATCTGTCAAGTGTTGAATACAGATAGGTCAGATGTTCGAATCCATCTTTTTCCTCCATCTTTTACTCTTTTTCTGTTCTACGAATTAATCTGGACAGTTTAGATAGACAAACGTCCCAGACATGTCGGAGTTCAACGACATCCTGGACTAGTCCAGACATAATTGCAGAACTTTTCTTGTCAGGATAATTAATCATGACGGATATTGTTGATATTTCGGACTAGTCATGTCGCCCCCCTCTTTCAGCGACTTTGTGTTTACTTAGCCGTTCTTCTTTGCTTCTTGCCTGATGTACAGAGACTCCGCCCATCCGTTGTCGTCGTTTTGTGAGTAACACTCTTGAAAAAAACAAACGATCAAAAGAGAAGAAGTCCTTAAAGTCTATAGCAACAAGTCAGAAAAGAAACCCTGACAACAAAAAAAGAACAAACAATTATATAAATATAGGAAGACGACGTTTCACTAATTGTAGTCATTCATCCGTCATGAGCCAACAAAAATCAACAACAACTGCTACTAGTAATGCAGCAGCGATGCCTACTACCACCATGAACAATCTTGCTACTGCTGTGCTGCCGCGGCCTGTGCGTCGGGTACTTCAAAACTTTCTTCTGGTTTGGCTTGATGCCAATTTCAATGAATCAAATGAAGATTTCAAAAGATCATTACAACAATTACGGCGTATTGTGGTATCAATCACAGCATTCACAGATGCTCAAGAATGCATCAATTTTCTCAGTGAAATAAAAACAGAAAAAGTATTCATGATCGTATCTGGTACACTGGGATGGCAAATAGTACCAGATATTGCAGCATGGCCACAATTAGAATCAATTTATGTATTTTATGACAATCAAGTGGTCCATGAACAATGGGCTAGAACAATACCCAAGGTAAAAGGTGTGCACACAAGCATCGAACCGATTTGTGAAGCATTACAAATCGATCGTGAAAATTGTGATCGGGCTATGATCTCGATCAGTTTTAATGGTATTGATCCGTTATTTATGTATACGCAATTACTGAAAGAAACGCTTTTGGATATTGAAGACGACGATGCAAAATCAATTAAGGAACTTACTGAATACTGCCGTCTTCAAGATGATATTGATGAAGGCGAAATTAGGAAGGTCGAAAACGAATATCGTGACCATACGCCAATTTGGTGGTATACAGCCGACACATTTATCTATTCTATGCTTAATCGAGGCCTTCGCCTCATGGATGTCGACATTATAATTAAAATGGGCTTTTTTATTCGTCATTTACATCAACATATTGAAAAATTATATCATGAACAACCCTATTGCATACATATGTAGTCTTCTGTTTGTCTGAATCGTACATACGAAGGATTGCGGTGTGATTACTACAGTATAACCATTACTATCTGCACGTCCATATAAAAATCACCGTCAACACTATCAGACTGCACCTAACACAAACATTGACTGATACTTATCCACCGCAAACTTGCATTATTCCACTCTACAACTACCACACTCATCGATCGATACCTAAGCGCTTATGAATAGCTATGTCGCCAAGCAAATTGATCATATATACATCCATTATCCACATTCATAGCAAATTCGGAGATCAACAACAGCCACACATAAGTAGTTGAGCATGCGATGTCTTTCTTCTGTATAAACCATTTTCTTTCTTTTTCCAAAAAAAAAATAAATCTTTCTTTGATGAAATATGTCTGGAAATTCTCTTCTACGTTCATCATTTGCGACCATCTGATTTCGAATATCATTACTATCGCACATTATTATAATACACATGTAGGAGCATCTAGTAAAAATTTGTACTTGATCAGATAGACAGACATTATTCCTCTTTCGTTTGTCGGGTTTACACAACACAGAACGACATATTTTTACATGAATGTTCGGCTTGGAGATCCATTATTTTTCAATTCTATTTTACATCTAATTAGCATTATTTTTTGTCAAATATCGAGCCCATCCATACATGAATGAGAAAGTTTTCTGGAACACTATTTTTCTTGCGTATTCAGTATAGCGTTATATTGCCGAGTGGCTAGAAGAATTTCTTTATTTTTCTGCCTTTATGAATACTCTATCCCAGACCTATGGATATACGGTAGAAAACAGTCGCAATCCATGATTTTCCAGCAAACTCCAAAAGTAGGATTCCGTACTCTGTTTCAACAGCCGATTCCATTTCAGTTCCTGCGAATTCCTATCCTTTCCAGTTCGAATACGAAACCCCCATACAACTGTCTAACGTTCAGCCGTAGAACTTGAAGATCGAAAATCAGATAGAACCATACGATACGGTTCGGAGTAAATTCTATCCAGATATAGATATCGATAACATCGAAGAGATAAATAGATGATTCTTGTGAATGCAAGTGCGAGTATTTGAACGGTTGTGTGAAGTTGCAAACACTCAAAACATTCATACCCGTCCTACACACCAGCCTCATCTCCACCCCTACACACTTAAAAAGAAATATTTTGCTTGGCATGACTTCGATTAGTGCACTCCACAGAATGTTTTCTAAAAAACTTTTGCTCTTAGAAATGGTTGTGGGAGATTTATAGAGCATCGCTCGAGAGAGAATTTGGTTGCACGTCGATTGAAGATATCTTAAAGCCTAAGTAATTCACGGTTGGAAGTATCGAAAATAGAAAAATTTGCACCCAATGCTGTAGATTGGTGCTGCTCGCTGAATATTTTTGAAAAAGTTTTTGCTCTTAAAAATGGATGTGTTGAATGTCCAGAACATCGTTTGATTGAGAATCGAATTTCATGCCGGATGGAAATATTTCCAAGCCTGAGCAATAAAAAGTTCAGGCTTCTGACAGAGAAAAATTCTGCCTAGCAGCATGTTCAGGTTGGTGCTCTACGATGAATGTTTTTTGATGAATTTTTACTCTTCGAAATGAAGCTGGCAGATGTAAACAACATCGATCAATAGAGAATTCAATTGCATGTTTAATCAAAGTGTTTGCAGATCCGTGAAGTTGACCCTCATCTTCTAAAGAGTCTCTCGTTCGCTTCCTTTCAAATCAGTGAACACCCACACCCTAGTTACAAAATATTTCAAATGTTGTCTTAATAATCAGAAGAAAAAAACAAAATTACATATTTAAACACCGTCGGATCCGATAGGAGTCCACTGGATGTCTTTCACCTAAGCTCTTTTCTCCTTGACGATACGGTCGATTGTGCTGAAACTTTTTAAAACTCTTCGTTGTTGTTATAGGATCCAAATGGATCCACTACTTCACAATTTTTCAGTTATCCCTACATTAACATTTCTTGTTTTCAACTAATCCTCTCATTTAATCTCTAATCTTATGTTGATGAATAATATTCGTCTGATAAATCACCGATAAGCTCAAAAAGAGAAAAATGGTGCTGTGGATCAGCATGGACCCTACAACAAACTTTCTCGTCTTACCGAACCTGACAGCTGTTGTTTTCCAATTATTTATTAAATCGTTTTGTTCTGATCCATTTGTAGGTTCATTATTTGAGATAACGATTCACATTCTCTTAAAACAGTGTAGAATATTTTTACGTTTTTTTTCTTGAAATCACATTTACTGATGTTGTTAGTTATACGCTTGTGCAAAGTCTTAGATTACTATTTGTCAGAGTGTACGAAAAAGAAATTTAAAAAAATTTTGCATTGGACAATGAAACTCAGATTTGAATAACATCATGATTGTGATAAAAAAAAGCAAGTTTTGACTTTTTTTAAATCATGAAAAAGAAAAAGACAAAAAATAAATATAGCTGTAAGAAAAAAATGTCTTCACCTTTTATCTATAGAAGATTAAATATATCAACATACACACATATACAAGGGGGAAAAAGCATTCTTCTGTACTTCTTGTACTTCTTCATACTTCTCGGTACTTCTTTGTACTTCTATTAGTGAATAAAAATCAAGGTGCAAAAGTGTACTTCTTTCGGACGTAGGTGAATGACACTTCCGGCTCAGTTCGCTGAAGTAGAGCTAGTCTGTCAGTTCCAGCCCCCGGAAGCTGAAGCAGTTCACCAGTTCAGCTCACAGAAGCTTGAAAGGTCACAATAAGTTCTCAATGGCTATTCTATACGGGTAACCATAAGTAAGTGTGTGACAGCTCCAGTTCAGTTCTCTGAGCTGGAGCTGGCCAGCCAGGTCTCATTCACATGAGCTAGAGCTGTCTATCAGCTATTCAACTTAGCTCTCGTCAGGAGTGGTGCTGGAGCTGTCACAGACCTCATGCTGAATCGCTCTTTGACTAAAGAGGGGCTCAAAGTTGATGGAAATTTGTCAAATACAATCTCCTCGACATAATACTAATTGCAAAGTAAAACCACTCCATTACATGACTTAAGTATGTCGAGCTAAGGAAAACACTCCACTCTTAATTCTTAAAGGAAAGCTCAAGTACATGACTCTTAGATTACCTCTAACCCAGTATTTCGTGCAACATTCGACACCAGTTAGTAGACGACGTACGAGTGGCGTCCTTACCACAATTTTGCGGTCTACGCTTAAAAGTTCTTGAAAATATATGACGACTAACGCTAAATATCTCTTGAACAGTTAGTGGCACCAGACACCTCTCACCCAGATAGCTCTTGAAGAGTAGCCAGAACTACTTC